CCGGCGTAGCAACCGGTTCGGTGAGCGCGCACTGTGCCATGTGAATCAAATGGGCTGCAAAACACGGAAATATAGGACGGATTCCGGCAGGGGCAGGTGAGCGGGGCCAACTAATCACCAGAACTACCGGTTCATTTGAACCGGTCCGAACCGGCTCAATCCCCCCTCTGCCGCTATTTCTTTTCAAGTCGTTCGGAGAAGATCCGAGTCTCTCTTCTGGACTCCTTAAACTACCCTTAATGTAAGGCAAGCGGGAGGGAAGGTGCTTCGTGCCAAAATAAGAGAATCTTGCACAGCTCATCAACCGACAACAGCAGAGAAGAGACCTGGGTGTCAAGTACCTGCAAAATATTTAGTGGACTAAATTTCCACTTGCTACATCAGCTAAATTTTAGCTGGCACTGTTAACATCTCCTCTGAAACAACTCTGGGTAGTATTTCCAAAAGAGAAGTGAAATAGTAACTGACTCGTTCTGTTTTTCTTTTGATACCTTGATGCTTTCCAAAATGGCAGATTCAGAGGTATATGCTTTATTATTGGGGTTGTTATTCTGATTGTTGTTGCTATTACTGCTGCAAAGTGCAGTGGAACACACACACAGCGTTGCAGCATGAAACTCCCTCCCTTAGCAAGGGATCTACGACAATTCGCTGCAGCCAATTCTCTGTGGCCAACTCGACACAGGACAACTCGCCATGAGATAAGAGTTACACTAATATCAAAGAAATAGTGGGATCGCATCATTAAAGAAAGAATGCCAAAAAGTCATGTGATTTTTGATTCTATGCTTCTATATACGCAACCAAGGATTGTAATAGCCTTTTTGGCTGCTGCCACACACTGATGGCTCCTGTTTAAGGGATCGTCCTACCTGTACTCAGTTAATCAAACAGTCTCTATCAATGGACTAAGCAGGACTCGGACTGAGAACCAGCAGGTTATATCCCGTCCCATTAAATCTGTGAGATCTAGCGTACCTGTCAGCATTCCAGCAAACCTCCTACTCCAACCAATAACCCTGAGACAGAGTTCCTTTTATTTGGATAGTAACTGGCACCACTGGGGAATCCTGAATTCTGAATCTTCCTTACAATAAGTAAAAACTACAAATCCATCCCCTGCACCCATCACATCACATGGCCCAATCACCATCCATCCCAAGTTCCTCTCGTTATGTGCAACACCTGACCTTGAATCAGAAAAAGAATTTGATTATGTCTAACTAGATATACTCCAATGAATTCCCCCCTCCCACTTTCCCAGGCTCAATTCTGGCAGCGTGGGAGCATCGGATCTCAATATGGCTTCCAAAGCTGACAGTACCCCTGTGTCAGATCCACCAGCTTCGGCTTGGCGCCTCGCTGGTGTTCTGCCATTGATCAGGGAAGGGAGGGGGGAACAAATCAGCAATAAAAACCTGTATACTTTTATGGGAATTAGAGAGTGGGGGGGATTGAAAGTTGAGGAAGAACGGAAGGGTTTGGAATCTGGTTCCTGCTGGCATCTCCAAGGCCCTTTGCCCCGAGTGTGGAATTTCGCCAGGCCAAACCTCTCTGAGTTTCTTACAACATCATGACGGTGCTGGATTGGCTATGCCTGACCGGACTATGCGGGGAGGTCTAGGGGAAACCAGGGATTTTAATTCTGTATTGAAGCACGGGGATTTTTAGATTCCGCTGGACTTTCTTGCAATCAGCATCTCTTAGTAAAAGTTGCCTTTCCACTTCAAATGGAGTCAAGGGTTTCACTTCCCTAAGGGAACAGGCAGGGGCAGGTCTGACACCTTGCTTGGGTGAGACCATCAGATCATTCAGGGACCTCAGTAAAATAATTTCTAATGCACAAAACAGAACCAAAGCTGCTGGAACACTTCCCCACCCCCGTCATTCATTTTATAGCAATCTCTTCAGTTGCTTCCTAGGGTCGATCGTTGTTAGAGCAAGATGACAGAATTACAGTAGCCCTTGACTTACGACCACAATTGAGTCCAAAATTTCTGTTGCTAAGCAAGACATTTGTTAAGTGAGTTACTCCCTGTTTTGCAACCTTTTCTTGCCACAGTTGTTAAGTGAATCACGCCTGTTGTTAAGTGTGTAAGAGGGTTGTTAAGTGAATCTGGCTTTCCCTTTGACTTTGCTCGTCAGAACGTTGCAAAAGGGGATCACATGACCCCAAGGGGACATAGCAACCGTCATAAATGTGAGCCAGTTGCCAAACATCTGAATTTTGATCACGTGACCAAGGGGATGCTGCAATGGTTGTTAAGTGTGAAAATAGTCATAAGTCACTTTTTTCAGTGCCATTATAACTTTGAACAGTCATTAAATGAACTGCAGAGTGTTTGTGAGACTGCTGGGTGCTTTCTGCTTGGGTTGTGTCATGCCCTTGTTGGAATCTGATTCTGAGGGGGAGATTGAGTAGCTGACAGGGAGTGGGAGTGTGGCTCCAGTGGCTGTGGAAGAAACGGGGAAAGGGCACAGTCTGGCTGGGCATTTAGAGGAAGACCCAGGGCCATCCCCTCTTCATCCTACAGCATGCAGGGAGGAATGGAGAAGGGAGCAACGTGGCTTACGGGAGAGGAAAGGGTCCTGATCTCTTTCATTGTTTGCAGCTGGGAGAACAGGATGTGTATGTATGTATGTATGTATGTATGTATGTATGTATATATATATATATGTATGTGTGTGTGTGTATGTATGTATGTATGTATGTATGTATGTATATATATATATATATATATATATATATATATATATATATATATTGAACTATAAACTAACCAAGTAAACCAATTCACAAAGCATTCAAAACCACAAGGAACTAACAAGGGTAACATTTAAAAAGTTAAACATCTATCAAGGTGTTCGTAACTGAGCTAGTTAACGTGTTTATTCAAGTGGTGTGGGATAAAGAGGTTAGTGAACATGATTGTGTGTCAAATTTTAACAAACAATATTTGAGGGGCTGTCACAAAGAAGAGGGGATCAATCTATTCTCCCAAGCACTTGAAGGCAGGGCAAGAAGCAATGGATGAAAACTAACCTAGGAGAGAAGCAACCTAAAACTAAGGAGAAATTTCCTGAGAGTGACAACAATTAATCAATGGAACAGGTTGCCTTCAGAAGTTGTAGGTGCTTCATCATTGGAGACTTTTAAGAAGAGACTGGACATCTTACTTGTCTGGATGTGTACTATAGAGTCCGAGCAGGGGGTTGGAATGGATGACCTCTAAGGTCCCTTTCAACTCTGTAATTCTGCCACCAGTTTGATACAAAATAATTAAGGCCACCAATCCTAAACAACATCAGAAAAGTTCTTTGTTCACTGTACAATTTTCTTCAAAAAAAACAAACAAACCCCAAAACCTTGCAATAAATTCATTAGCCAAACGTTTTTTCAACATGACACAACCACATTCTTTGACAAGTTAAGACTGGGAACTGTGCGAGAAAACTGCTTGTCTTGCATAATTCTAGCAGGAAAAGTGCATTTTTCCTTCCTTATTGATAAACAAAGCCTTCGTTATCACTTGCGATTCTTACCAATGCAAAAAAAAGCCTTCGGATCGATTAAAACAAAAAAAACACAAGACAATCTATTATCCATGATTTCCGAAAGAACTCTCTATGTAAATTATGTTCACAGGAGATTCCCTTTCCTGAGGCTTTCCAATACTGTAAAAATAACAGCTCACAGCACTGCACACTGATATAACTTTTAACAAAATTCGTTACCACCATAAACTTTCTTGAGATCAACCCCAAAAGGAAAACTTTATTTAATAAGATCTGACAGGCCAGATTTGTTATGATCTGGGGAAACCGGGGAAAGATTTTTCTACTTCCCATCTACACTCCAATAAATTACATGCCAGGAGGGGGTCATAAAATATTAATTCTCGAAGAAGGACAGAGAGAGAGAGAGAGAGGAAGAGGGGAATTTCTTCCCTACGAGGGGAAATAGCCTCAGCCATTATTCTTTTGTCTAGGATTTTCCTCCTTTCCCTGCAAAGCAAGCTGGGTTGTTTCTCCGTTTGTTGAATAGTTTTGAAGAGGAGAAAACTTCTTCGGACTCCGCAAGGGGATTGTAAAACTGAAGGGATCGTAAAAGTTACTGAACGGCTGGAAAGGTTTTCTAGGAATTTCTAGGGCTGTTCAAAAATCGATGCACCTGCGGAGATCGTTGTGGTTGTGGTTGTGATGTGGCAATCGGCCAGGGACTCAGTCAGGGGAGAAAGGGGGGGCTGGCCCACCCACCCAATTGACTGCAATGAGGTTGCTTCAAAGTTTGAGGCTTTTCCTAAAAAGGACCACATTCTCAAGTTCTTCACTTTTCCAAGGAAGCCTTTTGCAGATGCTCTGGGACAAACCCCTTCCTCTTTTTTTTTTTAACCTCCCCGTCCCCAGGACTCTGGGTTTCCAAGTGCCCCCCCCTCCTGGGTTTCGGAACCAGGCTACTTTGGGGAGGGGGGGCTGTCTTTCTCCAGGATGGGGAGGGACATCTTACAGATTAACAGAGTTGGAAGGGACCTTGTAGGCCAGGGGTCTCCAACCTTGGCAACTTTAAGCCTGGCGGACTTCAACTC